TCTGATTTTGTTTATTCAACATGAAAGTTTTAGTCTATTGTGACAGATAGAAAATCTATCAAAGGATCAATTAAGAGGAGCATGAGAAGAGTTATTTTCCAAAACCATTGAGATGTTTCCTGACAGTTTTTTCTTATTTAAGGATTAGTGTTTAAGTTACAAAATTGAAGATTATTTTTACAGGTGCCATTGAAAATGGAATATGAAATTCCTAGAGATTACATCAGTGAAACCCACAAAGCCCAGCTGTACTCAGCCTTGCCCATGTGATGCAAATGGATCATATTTTGTAATATGACATAATGGGCTACAGAAAGCACACATAATATAAAAGCCAATACAAGATTCAAGGAGCCTTAGAGAGCTGGCTCTTTAAATCAGCCCTTGAGAGAACTAACAGGAGCATGGAAATGTAAACGTTTTAAAAGGTTCAGCTATGAAATCCAAAGGGAGGTCATTCAGAAGAGCAGGTGGAGGTTGGATAAACAGGGCTACAGTGCCCTCTGCTGGACAATGGCTGTGACTTTCTGAAAACAACGCCATTGAGCAGCTAAACCATCAGTTCAGAAATATTTGCTGTGGAATCAGTGTTGGCTGTATTCTTCTGCAAATTAAAGTGACATTAGTCCCTCTACATTCTTCTTTTTTACAGCAGATGAGACAAGAAAATAGTCTCAATCCAAAGAGGTTGAACACTATAAACTCATTTGAAAAAGCGTTTTTTTAAGTTACACATTCCCAAAGTAACAGATTTGCTTGGGTGTCCATCCTAAGTGAACATTCCTATGCTTTCAAAGTTTAACACATACGCATCCAAATTTCTGAAATTATAGGAAACCAAGAAACAGGGAAACCTAAACCATTCAGTCAAAAACATTCATTATGGACCTTGGCCTTTTCTAATATACACCATTGTGTAACTGGAGCAGGAGGCTTCCAATGCTGCCAGTTCTGTTATATAATTTCAGGAATCTCAAGAATCTATTTAAACAAGTCATGCTATCGAATAAATGGCCAGCATATTACTCCCCAACCCACTTCTAAATAAATATATATAATGCAGTAAAGGAATTAAGTGCCTAAGAAAGGAAATCTCCATAAGTGCCTGCCTCTTTTTCTGGTAGGAAAGTGGCACAATAATATCTAAATGGTCTCCAATGTCATTTCATTGCAAAGTAAATCAGTTAATTGTGGTAATCATCTTTCTTTGTCAAATAGAAGGGTTGGCTCCATTAGTAGAAAGAGAGAGTGGTATTGTTTTAGTTCAGTTCTCATTTATACAGTCTTGTTCCCAAGCCAATCAGAGAGCAATACAGAACTTACATTTATAAAAGCAGAAAAGCCTGCTGGTGTAGCCTGGGTTTTATAGCTTGCCAAAGAATAAATTTCAATCAAACAATAATAACACTGAACTAGCACTACATCAATACACACGCACATACACACACAGAGTGTCAGTATGAATGACAGTTGCAGTTTAAAATGTACATTAATGTACATTAATCTTAAGAAAAGGCATTACCTTCATTTTACAACAAACATTTTACCTGTGAAACATCGAGCAGCTGCACTATATATCCAAGGAGTTGTGTACCAGCCTTCTTGCAGCACAGAAACTTTAAGCTGCACATTTTATCTATTGCAAGTCACCGGTAGCCACAAATTTAGTGGTCCCAATGACCACTAAAGCTAGGCATAGCCCAGTTTGCCACAGCGAAACAGAACACACTGAAATTTTGCCATTTGTGAAACATTTCCCTGAAAGCATTAACCACAACAAAAAAATTCCGGGGAAGTGACCCCATCATGGCCCGAAACCAAAGCAAATGTTTGCAGGAACCCCTGAGAAATGTAAGTGCTGAGCTCACAACATTCTAATTATAACATTTGATTTTCCAAAGGTTCTTAAAAGGGTAGAACTTATGCAAGTCAAAATGCACAAAGACTCTGCCTTAGGAAAGCTGACTAAGAAAGCAAGCCAAATAACCCCAAGGAATTTGTATTGGAATTTTACAGAATAAAATAAATTGAGTGGGATAGGGGTGTTATTTAAAAGCCAGAGTGAGAGGCCATAACTGACATTCATCCTGGTTCCATATAAACAAGTGAGGGAGGGGGAATAACAGAGATTATTATGGTCACACAAGGATGCCAAAACTTCATATACATTGTATGCAGTAAACCTAAACGCAGTGTTTTAAAATACAGGGAGGGCTGTGAATTATTACGGGGAAAATAGGCAATAACTGTGAATAATTAGAAGTCTAAAATAATGCAGCAAATATTAAAGTGAAACAATATATCAGTGACTATAAAGTGATGACAAGTAGAGAAAAATTCAGCTCATTAAAAATTATGCTAAGTTTGCTCTGCCAGCCCAAGTATTTAAATTTCATCTTAGAAGGTACCACTGAAGGAATTTCTGATCTATTTCACACGGTTGACCTCAATGGTATCAATGTGCTAACAATGTCACTGCTCACAAGTCTTCCAGCCACCTCTGTGAATGTGACTGATATTCTGCCTCCCTACATCATCCTCCAGCCTCCTCTCCATCCTTGCAAGCTGTCAGCTAAGCTATTTTGGGATATGAGTTTAGCACTCTTTCAAAAGAACATTAAACACATTATTTAGAAATGGCTCCAATAATTAACAACCTGGGCCCAATGAGGGTGAGATTGTTTCAGAGGGCAGGAACCATGACAGAGTAGGCCTGCTTTTTAGGGTCCACCACTTGACACAACTTCACCGAGGGGATCTCATGAAATGTCCTCAAGACCCGGAACTCTACCAGATTTGGTGGGATGAGTGGAGACGATCTGGGATAAGTAACCCTGCAGGTAACCTGACCCCAAAATATGTAGGGTCTTAAAATTGGCAATGGGCATTGGGCACCTTGGATTGCACCTGGAAGCCTTTCCAAAGCAGGTGCAATTCATGCAGCAGTTGTATTATGTCGGTATACTATGCTGTGCCCCAAACTGCAGCTTTCAAGAAGAGATTGGACTCCCATTTGTTAGGAATGGTGTAAGGTCTCCCACTTGGGCGGGGGGTTGGACTAGATGACCCATAAGGTCCCTTCCAACTCTGATTATCTGCTATCTGAAGCTTCCAAATGCTCTTCAAGGACCACCCCATGTAGTCCAACCAGGAGTTGAATGTGAGAAGTGCCTCCCTATTATTTCTTTATTTCATCATATTTGTTTAGCCACCCATTGTACAAAATATGGTTTTAGGCAGTCTACAATAAATATAGAAATGGGCACAAATGGCCATTAAGCGAAAGAGAAGTAGGCCTGCTTGCACCAGGATAAAACAGCAAACAGGATTTAGGGAGAGCCCAGTATAGACCAGGGAGCAACATCACTGAATAATATTAGATCATATTCCTCACAAAAACTGAGGTGGAAAATACTTAAAATCAACAACTTTGAGCTAGCTTACCTGTGAGCTGGAGATAAGACACAGTGTCTTGATGACATGTCACATTTAAAAAAAATATGTTACCAGGGCACATTCAAGCCACTTCTGAGTTTACAAGGATGAGCCTTCAGCCCTAAGAGCTAGTTTGGTGGGTGTTTGGTTACAAAATGGCTTATATTACTACAGTTTTTGTAACTTGTTTCTGCCTGGTAAGGCAAAATTAACAATGGTAGCAGACTTTCACTCAATAGATTGAAGACCTGATTACACTTGCCACCTATAAGTGGATTGTCTGTCGACATAGATCTTGCATGGACAAGTATAGTGAAATATACGACTAAATGATTTATACACAATGCAATAGGTTAAAACATAATGATAGTTATATAGGTTTATTGGAAATATATACTTGAATGCTATTTGCATTAGATAAGTATATAAAGAATTGCAATTATTTACTATTGAAATGATATATTATACTATTTTTTCTTGTATTTTTGTTGTTATTGTTGTATCTACTTGGAAGCTGGTGACAGCAATGTTTATGTCAAGTGAAGCAAACTCTTTGATGAGATGTTTTTTGTTAACTGACAAATCTTGAAGAAGAATGGTTTATCTTAACTATGCTTGAAGGAAGAGAAGTTTACATCACAATAATTTCAGGTCTGGGTCTTACACAAAAATGTAGACAATAGGAATTATGCTTTTTCTTGCAAGTCCATCAGAGTGAAGTGAATGGAGTGAATAGTCCAGAGTCTCTGTTAGGCTTATTCCCCTGCAAAATATAATATCCAAAAGCATCCAGTATAACAGAAATCCATGTATTTTTCAGTTCCATCCAGGGATGGGATTCAAATTTTTTAACAACCGGTTCTATGGGCATGGCTTAGTTGGTGGGCATAGCTTGGTGGTCATGTGACTGGCTGGGCGTGGCCAACTCAACATCACTCACATCAAGGCATGCTTCTCCTCGCCTGGCCTCTCATGACTGTGAGGATGCTGCAACAGTCGTAAGTGTGAAAAACAGTCATAAGTCACTTTTTCAGTGCCATTGTAACTTTGAATGGTCACTACACACAAGCAAAGTACCAGCAAAGGAGGGGGAAAAAAACTCCAGAGACATTCCTGAGACAGGAAGTCTAGTCCTGCCAAGAATGTAATTAGGGTTAACAGAGAGGTAGTTTCTGTAAGCAACACCAGAATGTTTCCTTCCTGCCTTCCTTACAGGATTAGGCCAGTAATTTCTTCTAACAACTGGTTCTTCGAACTGCTTAGAATGTTAACAACCGGTTTTAGTGAATAGGTGCGAACCTGTAGAATCTGACCCCTGGTTCCATCTTGTTGAGCTATTGTTACTACTTCTCAAGAAAATAACAATTGTTGATGCGGTCTATTTATTGCAAATATTAAAGATATGCCTGGTAGATTGGAGAAGAGAAGGTTGGATTTTCCATAGTGTCTCAACAGTAATTCTCAATCATCCAATTCTAAAACAATCACATTCCTTGGTTACAAACATTCATCAGAATGTGTTAATTCTACAACTTTTTCATTCATACAGCTGTGTCCCATTATGTGCGAACAACATTCTTTCTATTGTAAGGGTAGAGTTAAGGTTGTGTGAGATTTGTTTTTAAAAAGTGGCTCCATAAAAATTGGGTTTTAATAAGGTTGTTTAAACCAGTCATTAATCTGAGTCCTGGCTAAATGTATGTTTATATATTCTGTATGTGTATATACAAACGCACTCAATCATGACTCTGATTAACAACAATTTTAAACAACTCAATTTTGATATAATCAGAAGTTTGCCAATTATGTTAATTTTGAATTTTTTCTCATTTATAAGTTAAGAAAACATGAACATGCTCTTAAAAGCGCTCCAAGAGTCAGGAAAGTAGACCAGGGATATTCTGGCAAAATACATAGGGAATTCAGCAAAAATATAACTGGTGTTCACACCTATGGGGGGAGGGGGGACGGATTCTTCATTGATGAAAACAGATGATGAGAAGGTATGACGGTAGAAAAGTTCAAATGGCACATAAGCACTTATGCATCTCAGCTATTATCTGGAAATGGAGGAAGAAAAATGTAAAATGTCATACTTTGGATAATGGAACCTTTAAAAAAATAGATATTAAAAGGGTAAAAGCAATGGAATGTATGATTGTCGCTCCCTGAATAATTCCAAAGTGCTTCAAGACCTAGATATTTTCATTCTTTTAAAGTTACCACAGAAAAGAAATATAGCTAGCCAAAATAAAAATGAGGACAATAAGGGCAGAAGCAAAATGCAGTCTTCTGTCCTCTCCAATTTCAATCTTTTAAGTATTTTATCCATGAAAAACCAATACACCATTACTGAAATAATAATGAGAATGCTGGTTGACTCAAATCTTTACTCTTTCCAATGTTATATGGAAATTACCCATTATTATTATTTTTTTCTTCCTTCCAATATGACTGTTGACTTGTTGGCCTGAGTTTTTCTAAAATTCATCTTCGAAAAATGTTAGACAAATCTTTATTACATTTTTATACAGATATATTTTAATACACGGTTTTAAATTCAAATGTTTAAGCTCTATATCATAAAAGCAACTCTACGAAATCTACACAAATTTTTTGAATACTAATCTTGCCTATGTATATTTTAAATATTTTATCTCTTGATAGGATTTCAAATATTTTTATATGTACTCCAAATTATTTGGGACTGTATAGAGATATTCCTGACATAGGTTTTTAACTGCCACTAAAAACTATCTGGCCTCATGCTTGCTATTTGCAACAGTTCTGCGGTATGTCAATATCCTGTCCCACTATGTAGCACTTTGAATAGCCCACTGCATTTACTTTCTTGGCTTCTTATCTTCTACAGTAGCTCAGCTTTTCACTGATCTTCAGTGATTATAATCCTCTTTCTATTTGGATTCTAAGATAAGGTGTGATCTTAAAGCACTCACTGAGTTTCTTGGAGATCTTGTCTCCTTTAACTCCCTGCCCATACACATGTTCTGTGACTATCAAAGTATAAACCAGGGTTATCAAACTTGATTTCACTGAGGGCCGCATCAGAGTTGCATTTGAGCTTGGGGGCCAGGGTGGGTGTGGCCAGCTCAACGTCACTCATGTCAGGGATGTCTGTGGCGGCCCAAGTGCTCTGCCAGCGAAAATGCACTCCTGAGCTCTGTTTTTGGCTGCAATGGCTTCCTGCAACCGTCTGTCAGTGAAAACAGAGCTAGGAAGGGCAGCCCTCCCGAGCTCCATTTTCACTGGCAGAGGAGCCAGTCCACTGTTTCCAGGGCAACCGCGTGGGCCAGATCTAAGCACTCCATGGACCAGATCTGCCCCAGGCCTTGAGTTTGAGCCCTCTGGTATAAACTATTTTTCCATCTATTACTTTTTTGTGTAGGCACACTTAGTTCTTGGGGGAAAATACTGCTATAAATACTTAACGTCCTTATTCCAGCTAGGGACCATCTGCTTTAGTCCATAAATATTCTTTTTGAAGTTTCATTCTGAAAGTTCATAGCATATCCTTCTCTGTGTGTCACCCCTCTCTGCCACCCTTGAGATCTACTTTATTGAGATGGGAAGAAAATATGATGCACTCAAAACTCCCAACCCTCCTAGTGCTTTCGATACACGCCTCTGCAACCCCAGAATTAAATTGCTGCCCAAATGAAAAGGAAACACCTTAATTTCTCAGAACTCTGTAATGGGGAGCTGTGTCTGCCTGGTTCCCTTCTCTCTGAAAAGTTTTTTTCTGATTTTTTTTTTTTGGTGGTGGTGGGGGGAGTGGGAATGTATGATACAGCAGATGATCCCAAAGGTTCTTGTCCAGCACCACTTCTATGTAAGCCAGATCCAGGAGGCGGAGAAGTGAATTTGAACTGGAGTCCTCTTATTCCAGAAATCCAGCTTAGAACAAAAGGGTCCATTCTCTGGAAAACGTGGCCCTTTTCTGTACTTTTTTGAGACATACTACTGCTACGTAAACCTGAAATGGGGTGACAGAGAGCCAGAGAACAAGGAAAGATGGACTATAGATTATAGCAGGCAGCTCAACCAAAGGCCTTTTGTAGAGATGACTAGACTCACCTACTGTAGACTCCACGGTGTGCATCATTCACTTCCCATGAATAATTTAATGGGGAGATGGAGGCTGGAACTTCTTTCTCCTGCAGCTTAGTGGCTTGGTTAAACACAGCAAGGAGGGTTATCCCATGGAATTGATTTTTGTCTACTTTTGGAGTAAAACCATCTGTGGAGCAGAGTGGGATGGCAGAAGGGTGAGCTTAGCTACCTCCCCTAGCCTGTCTTTCACTCCCCCTAGCCGTTCACTTGATTGTCATCCACAATTGTGTAGATTGCAGAACAATTGAACTGCACGGATATACTTCCCTGAGAGCCAAATATTACATTTCAGCATCTTGTTGTGATTTGCCTTCAGGCTCCATGCAAAGCAGCCACAGGTATTTCCTTCAATACGCCTGGGTATAAAAGGAAGGGAAGGTTCAGCCTTCATCTGTCGCTATTTCCATTCCTTTAGTACACTTACTTTAGGATGCTGACATCGTTTCCTTCTTTTTCTTCCCAAGGAAAATATCATGTTGGAGATCAACATTTTTCCTGATAAACCTACAAGCATCCACAGTACAATGCAGACCTAAACTTCTTCAGCCAGAAAAGAAGGTCAACATGCCAGTCTCTGGACCTTGAAAAACCCTCCTTCTACATAAATTACAACATTCGACTAAGAGGGGCGCTTCCATTTTTCATCGAAAAACAACATATTTTTTCCCCCCCTGCTAAATCACCTTGACCTGGCTCCAGTCTGCCTTAGCCACAGATCAGGAAAACATGATGGAGATTCTGATATAGGAGTAAAGACCTTGACAATCAGGAAATGGATCATCCTGGGAGTGGAACAAGAAGATGAGATGTAGGAGACCTAGATCTGCCCTTCCAAGTCTATAAATCCTAGTGATTGCTTCATCTCACTGAGACTACCAGATAGGATGGAGGACATCACTTCTAGGTGTACTACAGATAATCCTTGACCTATGACCACAACTGAACTAGTGGTGGGATTCAAAAAAATTTAATACGGGTTCTGTGGGCGTGGCTTGGTGGGCGTGGCAGGGGAAAGGATACTGTAAAATCTCCAGTTAGAGGTGGTGTTTGCCGGTTCTCTGAACTACTCAAAATTTCCGCTACCGGTTCTCCAGAACTGGTCAGAACCTGCTGAATACCACCTCTGAATTGAACCCAAAATTTTTGTTGCTAAGTGAGACATTCGTTAAGTGAATTTTGCTTCATTTTTATGACCTTTCTTGCCACATTTGTTAAGTGAATCACTGCAGTGGTTAAACTAGCAACACATTTGTTAAGGAAATCTGGCTACCCCATTGACTTAGCTTGTCAGAAGGTCACAAAAAAAAAGGGGTTCACATGATCCCGGGGCACTGCGATCCTCATAAATGCATGCTAGTTACCAAATGGCCAAATTTTGATCAGGGTGACCATTGGAATGCTACAATGGTTGTAAATGTGAAAAACAGCCCTGGGTTGCTTTTTTCAGGGCCATTGTAACTTTGGCTGGTGACTAAAGATAGATAGAATAGAATTCTTTATTGGCCAAGTGTGATTGGACACACAAGGAATTTGTCTTTGGTGCATGTGCTCTCGGTGTAAACAAAAGAAAAGATACATTCATCAAGAGTCGAGGGCTACCTGTGATTACCACAGAAAGAGTGATAAAATGTTGGAGCTTTGGGCAAGAGAAACAGGCAAGTAAGAGCTGTGATATGTCCATTGTATCGATGGAGGATTGGCAAGTAATGAACATAAGGTTGAGTCAAAGTTGACTCAGCCTTCCATCCTTCCGAGGTGGGTAAAACAAGGACCCAGTTTGTTGGTGGCAACAAGCTGACTCTGTAAACTGCTTAGAGAATGCTGCAAAGCTCTGTGAAGCGATATATAAGTTTAAGTGCTATTGCTGTTGCTATAAGAGAGGATGTAGATGAAGAATTGAACGCTTGCCTACCGAAACTGCATATGAATGGCTTAATTTAAAGACCAGACTATAGTTTTTTTCAGCAGCTCTGTGACATGAGGTTGCAAAAAATTCAAAAAGAGACAAATGGAACATGGGAATGTAAACCTGGAAAACAGGGACGCCCAGAAGCATGGAAGAGGGAACAAGAGAGAAGTCACATAGGTGCTATCCGTCAGAAGTGCAGGTAGCCCTCGACTTACAACACTTCACTTAGTGACTGTTCAAAGTTACAATGGCACTAAAAAGTGATTTATGACCATTTTTCATCCTTATGACCGATGTGCCCATCCCCATGGTCAGATGCTTTTGGCAACCGACTCAAAGTTATAATGGTTGCCATGCCCCTGCATCGTTTGATCCCCTTGTATGGGACCTTCTGACAAGCGAAGTCCATGGGGAGAGTCTGATTTGCTTCCCAACCCTGCTACTAACGTAACAACTGCAGTGACTCACTTAACAACGGTGGCATGAAAGGTCGCAAAATTTACTTAACAACCATCTTACTCAGCAACAGAAATTGTGGGCTCCATTGTGATCATAAGTCAAGGACTACCTGTATGGTTCAGACATATTAATGTTAAGAACACCACTTTGCATTCCAGCCACTGGAGGAATGGAAGTACAGTTCGTTTAGTGACTGTTGGAAGTTACAAAAGAGACTTATGACCGTTTTTCACACTTACGACTGTTTCAGCATTCCCATGGTCACGTGATCAAAATCCAGACCCCTGGCAACTGAGTCACATTTATGACAGTTGTCCTGGGATCATGTGATCAACTTTTGCGAGCTTCTGATAAGCAGTGTCAATGGGAAAGCCAGATTCACTTAATAACTGGGTTTTACTAACTTAACACCTGCAGTGATTTGCTTAACAACTGGGGCAAGAAAAGTCATAAATGGGGCTTAATAAATGATCCACTTAGCAACAAAAATGTTGTATGCCTGAAAGTAATGTCCAATATATGTATTATGAGCCTCTGTGACGCAGTGATTAGAGTGCAGTACTGCAAGTTACTTCTGCAGCCAGCTATCTACAATTTGGCAGTTCAAATCCCACCAGGCTCAAGGTTGACTCGGCCTTCCATCCTTCCGAGGTGGGTACAATGAAGACCCAGATTGTTGGGGGCAATAGGCTGACTCTGTAAACTGCTTAGAGAGGGCTATAAAGCACTATAAATTGGTATACAAGTGCTATTGCTATTATATAATAAAATTGTCTCTCTCTCTTTTTCTTTTCTCTCTCTTTCTCTCTCTCTCTGTGTATGAGAATATATGAAAATAGTCTTCCAATTGTATGTGCAGAATAAACATACCATAAACGTGTGACAAAAATAGATGTTGCAGTTAATTGCACAGTTCTATATTGAGTCTATCATCTGCCCCTCTATAACTGTCTGGTTTGGTTCTGCAACCCAACAGGAAAGACACAGACTTCAGAGGATAATTAGAACTGCAGAAAAAACTATTACTACCAACCTGCCTTCAATTGAGGATCTGAATACTGCACGAGTCAAAAAGAGGGTTGTGAAAATATTTACAGACTCCTCACATCCCAGACATAAACTGTTTCAACTCCTACCCTCAAAATGACACAATAGAGCACTGCACACCAGAACAACTAGACACAAGAACAGTTTTTTCCTGAAAGCCATCATTCTGCTAAACAAATAATTCCCTCAGCACTGTTCAATTATTACAAAGTCTGCATTACTATTACTGTTAATCTTCTCATCCCTCCTTATCGCCCATCCCCTCCCACTTGTGTCTGTGTGACTGTAACTTTGTTGTTTGTATCCTTACGATTTATTTTGACTGTTTCCTAGTATGATTTGATTGCTTATTGTATCCTATGACTATCATTAAGTGTTGTACCTTATGACTCTTGATGAATGTATCTTTTCTTTTATGTATACTGAGAGTATTTGCACCAAGACAAATTTCTTGTGTGTCCAACCACACTTGGCCCATAAAGAATTCTATTCTATTCTATAGGCTCCATCCCTATCTACCATCTGAATACAAGTATTATAATATGAATGGAACTGTGGCAGAACAAGAAGTGCAGTTCTTAAATGCATATCTTTTGGAAGCCCATCTTATTCATTTGAGTAGGACTTCCTTCCAACTTAAACAACTCAGGATCACATCCTCTGCATAGTCTACGTATCCATTTAAGAACGGAAAGGATATCCAAATCCACAACTACTTTCTAATGAAGAACAGGCAGATATGTGGTTTGCAGCAGTGGTGGGATTCAAATAATTTAACAACTGGTTCTCTGCCCTAATGATTTCTTCCAACAACCAGTTCACCTCAGAACGTTAACAACCAGTTCTCCTGAAGTGGTGCGAACTGGCTGAATTCCATCACTGGTCTGCAGGGATGATTTGGCTACTCGAACCTGTTTTGTCTGCTGATTCTGTTCTGCAACTGTTTCTCATATTGTTTCTAACCTTCTTCATCCTGTTTCCCTCTCAGTCCAGAATACAAGTCACCAATTCAAATGCCATTCAACTCTAAGCACAAATCAGAATTCAGTATCTTATTAGTGACATGCTACTCTATAAATGCTAAATAGAATTTCTTAATTTGGGGAAAAGACAATATCTTTTAAACATGTTGCAATGGCACTTATCAATTTGAAGCACGATGCTCTCCCATCCCCCCCCCCAAAAAAAAAACCCCAGGAAAAAATCTTTCACTTTTTTCAAGCAAACTGAAATAGATCCATTTCCAGATGAGAAATATTAGAATGGGATATAGAGCATAATTCTTGCTTTTTTAAAAAAAATGGATGTGCTGCATCCATGCAAAGTGAATTATCTTGCTCTGGAACTTTACAGTTTCAACTGATTACTAACTGGGAAGGACTGGGAAGTAAAACATGAGTTCAAGGTGAAGGTGAAATACTCCTTCTGGACATTTCCATTTGTCAAGGAAAATGTCTACGAGGGGGGGAAAAATAAACCCTGAAGGCAGATCACTATCTATTTTACTATTTCATACTCCAATCATGTGTTGTCACTCTGTTACTTAAACATTTAAGGAGGGAGACTAGACTTCTACCATTGCATTTTGATTCTGTATCATACATATATGCACATGAGGGTTGTATTGTGAGAAATACTTTCATTTCTCACAAAGCTATTGTTTCTAATGTTATTTTTTCCATTTTCCTTTACATGTCAGTTTAGGAAATGAGCACAGGGAAGCAAAACTTTCTGGGGGCAATAATTTTTATATTAAATGGAATGGGGATGAAATTCAATGGATATCCAAAATTAGGAATTATAGTTTTCTTACAAACTGCATTTTGCATTCCTTAAAAAAAAAAAAATCTACCAAACTAAAATCATTGAAGAACCCATGTTAACTGGTGCTATAAACTTGGTGTGTTAGGCAATAAGGTAATCCTCAACTTATAACAGTTCATTTAGTGACCATTCAAAGTTACAAGAGCACTGAAGAAAATGACTGATGACCATTTTTCACACTTACAACCATTGGAGCTTCCCTGTGAGGAATCCAGATTCACTTAACAACCATGTCATTAACTTAACAAACACAATGATTTGCTTAATAGCTGTGGCAAGAAAAGTGTGTAAAATGGAGCAAACTCATTTAAATGTTTCACTTAGCAACATAAATTGTGGACTCAAGTGTGGTCATAATTTGAGGATTACCTGTATTCTTTTGATTTGCAGCATTTATTTAAATATATAAAAAGTGTATAAAAAATGTATAAAAAGTGACTCGGGGGGGGGAAGGGGATCAAATCAGCATTGATCAGTAGAAAGTCTATAAAGTCTGGCTAAAAATGCCAACGTTTTTTAAAGACAAATTTCTACTGAATCTTTAACAAAATCTCTATTAAAAACCCATACATATTAGATTAAAAATAAATAAAATCTTAAACCTTTTCATTTTGTTAAAATAATTATGAGGATTTCAACTTGTAGCACAGTAATGCTGTAGAATTGCCAGTCTAGTGCCTAAAATGTCACCCTGGATAGGTAGCCTCATCAGGCTGTAAATATTCTGATTAAGCTGACCACTGACGCCATTGCTATGATGAAGAGGAAGCCTTCAAGCGAAATCTCATCTATCAAGGTGAAGAACACGAGAGATCTGCTGGTTATCCCTCCCATATCACTAGCAAGAGGTTGTTTTTTCTGGCTCATATCC